GCCTAAGCCCAGGAGTTGGAGGTTGCTGTGAGCTGTGATGCCATAGCACTCTACCAAAGGCGATAAGGTGAGACTCTGTCTCAAAAATAAATAAATAAATAAAATAAGACTTAAAAAAAATGAGCATAAACTTTCATGATTTACATTGAGCAAAGTTTCTTAGTTATGATATCAAAAGCACAATAAATAAAAAGACTGATCAATAAATTAAATTAAACATCGTCAGAATTATAAAGTTTTGTGCTTCAAGGGGGCACTGTCAAGAAAATGACAAAAAAAATTAAAAAAACAAAACATGAAATGGATGAAATTTTTCTGTAACTCATATATATGATAAAAGACATACTTAAAATATATGACTAACTTTTCTAACTCAATAATAAGATAAATAACCCAATAGATATTTCTCTAATTTGTTGTGACCAGTACTTAAAAAAACATGGCCAGAGGCTTTTAGTATCAAACTACTATAAACTTGTTGTTTCTGTATTTATCTCGGCTGAGCCTGTTATAGGACTGGCCGGATCCACAAACCTCACACACAACAGCCCTGACAGAAGGTCTTTAGGGGTGCCCAGGAGGACCCTGGTAACTGCAGAGGAATCTCAAGGCACAATTCCTCCAGGAGTTGTAGCCTGGGCTGGGCAGGAGGTTGACTAGAATGTAGGAGACCAGAAGGCATGAGGCCTAAGCAGGTGGGCCCTGGAGGACCCAAGAGGCAGCAGCTGCATCTGCTTTCATGCTCCATACCAGCATCAACCCTGCTGCTAGAGCCCACCCCACACTCAGGGCGTCTGGGGTGGGAAGTACCGTTCTGTAGGGTCTGGGCTCTGGACTCCTTTCCCAGATTTACGTGGAAGCCGCCACCCAGGGTTGGGGTTTTGCCAGCACCTAGAAACACAAAAAAGACTGATCAGCGAAAGCTTGGCAAAGATCTGCATTTACACCCCTTTCATACCATCCAAAAACACAAAGTGCGCAAAAAGCAGGAGTCAGCACTCATACAGGAAACTGCAGCAGATCGAACTCCCTCCCCACCATTCATCTGAGCCCAGAAACCCCATAGGATAGTGCCTTTCACTCTGCCCAGACAACAGGGCAGTGGCCTCAACCTGAAGATGGGGATGGTAGACCACACCTATTTGCACTGTCTTGTGTTCTTTCTTTTGAAATGGGGTTTTCCTGTGTTGCCCAGACTAGTCTCAAATTCCTGGGCTCAAGCTATCCTCCCACCTCAGCCTCCTTGAGTAGCTAGGATTACAGGAGTGAGTCCCTGTGCCCACCTCTGCTATCCACATTTTCTAATCATGCTCCTAATGCACTATAAGTCCAGAGCAGGCTGCTGTCACACAGCTGCAAGGCAAGAGCATGGTTCCACCTCCCAACTACAGTGAGAGGGCCAACACGGCATTCGCTGGGCCCTTTTGGGTCCTCCTGCAGGCCCTCCTTCATGCCATATCACACATACGTGACAGCAGTGTAAGTGTGTCCACTTGACTGCTGGGCTGCATCCAGCTGTGTACCCTCCACTCACAGAGAGTGGCAGCAAGGGCAGCCCCATGCACAGTGTGGCCACAGCCAGACCTGCCAGACACTCTGCCTTTGAACTGTGCCAGGTAAGAACAGGCCCAGGATGTCCCACCACACTGTGATCTGCATGGGGTTTGGGGCTGGAGCTTGGGCTCTGATACTCTTTGAAAATATTGGGTGGACGTACCAATTGTTCTCCAGACTTATAAACCTAATGACCAAAGCCTGGTCTTTTTTTTCAGACAGACCCTTAAGCTATCACCCTGGGTAGAGTACTATGGCATCACAGCTCACAGCAACCTCCAACTCCTGGGCTTAAGCGATTCTCTTGCCTGAGCCTCCTGAGTACCCAGGACTACAGGTACCCACCACAATGCCCGGCTATTTTTTGGTTGTAGTTGTCATTGCTGTTTGGCAGGCCCAGGCTAGATTCGAACCCACCAGCTCTGGTATATGTGGCTGGCGCCTTAGCCACTTGAGCAACAGGTGCCAAGCCTCCCTGGTCTTTTTTTTTTTTTGGCCTGGACCGGTTTGAACCCGCCACCTCCAGTATATGGGGCTGGCACACTACTCCTTTCAGCCACAGGCGCTGCCCCTGGTCTTTTTTTTTTTTTTTTTAAGAGATGGGGTCTCACTCTGTCCCCAGGCTGGAGTTCACTGGCACAATCACAGTTCACTGAAGCCTCAAACTCCTGGGCTCCAGTGATCCTCCTGCCTCAGCCTTCCAAAGTGCTAGGACTACAGATGTCAACCATCATGTCTGGCCTGAAGCCTGGTCTTCTAATGAGCATGGCTAAAGTGAGCAATGCCAGGCCATGAGCAACAGAGCCAGAAAGCACCTCCCATCCCATAGGCACTGGCCCTCAGAAGCCAGCACAGGGGCCAGCAAATTTATGACAAAGTACAGACACAAGAACTAGAGACTTCCACAATTAGAGCCACACAAACCACCTGGAGCAAGTACAGGGCCTGTGAGAGGGACACAGTTGAGGAAGAAATGCAAACACAGGAGTGAAGTCTGGGGAAAGTATGGGCCCAGCAGAGACCTTAGTGTGACTCGGGGGCGGCCACCTGGACAGACAGTATAGAACAAGCATGGCTTCTGATTTAACTATAAGTGCAAGTGAATCCTAAATACTAGCGAGATTTTTTAAAGATCTCAATAAAACAACTCTAAAACTTTGACAAAAGCAGTGAGGGGGCCTAGCCAGGCAGCTGCTGGGCCTGACCCTAAACTAAGAACTAAACAGGGTCAGGGAGCTCTCAACTCTCCCACCTTAGCAGCAGAAGCAAAGACTAGGGGCATTCTCAGGGCTGAGGCCCAGAGCTGGCCTCTTGCCATTCATGTGTGCACAGCAGGTAGGGACAGGGGACTGAGTACAGGCCCTCTCCAACAGAGGAGGTGGTAGGGGCTGAGCGGGGCCCACAGGGTTTGGGCTATGGCTACTGGAGGTAGCGTCAGTCTTTCATGGTTGCTACAACAAATTACTAAAACCTATCGACCTTCAAGCAGCAGCAGCAGGTCCCAACCCTGTGCCCTTGTCAGGGCTGGAGAGGACCAGGCAGAGGCACAATGGGGAGCTCGCTAACACAGATATCTGGTGGGGAAGCCAGGGATGGCGGGCCCAGCTCTGCTCCCTGGTCCACCTCACCCAGGAACAAGGGACTTCAAACACCAGCAATGTATCAACTCTAAGTTCTATAAAAACCCAACACATGTCTCGCTGGACTGAGAGCAAGGCACCTTCTTTGCTTTGTAGGTGGTAGTTTTTTTTAAGTTTTAGAGCTTTTACATTTGAAATCTTTTAGATAATGGAAACCAACTTAAGGCCACAATCATTTGTAGTGGCCTGAGCAGGACGCCACATCTCAACATCCTTGTTTACAGCACACAAGGTCTCACTATGTTGTTGAGACTGGTCCAAAACTCCTGGGCCGAAGAGATCCTCTAGCCTTAGCCTCCCGAGTAACTGGGACTAAGGAGATGGCCACCATGTCTAGCCTCAACTTTAATTTTAGAAAAAGAAAAAGAAAATCACCCTATTGTTATAATTATAATGAATATGTGTTTTTAATAAATAATTTAAATAATATTATACTAGAAAAAGGACAGTGATGGGCACCTATAGCTCAGTGGTTAGGGTGCTAGCCACATGTTCCAGAGCTGTTGGGTTCAAACCCAGCCCAGGCCTGCTAAATAAAAAAAATAGACGGGTGTTGTGGTGGGTGCCTGAAGTCCCAACTACTAGGGAGGCTAAGGCAAGAGAATCGCTTGAGCCCAAGAGTTTGAGGTTGCTGTGAGCTATGACTGCACAGCAGTCTACTGAGGGTGACAAAGTGAGATTCTGTCCCAATAAAAAACAAAAATGAAAAAAAAATGAAAAAGAACAGTGATCAAAGTATAGAAAGCCCCCAAAGCCCCACCTTTCGGGAATAAGGGGCACTGCACAGCCTCCATTTCAGCCACCTCTCCTTGCTAGATACAGACAGGAGGCAACCAGGCCTCCTCCTAACAGGACAGGATCACAGACACCACGCTGTATTCATCAGTTGTGACTTAGCTCTAGTTGAGTAATGCAGTGTCTTCAACGGCCTCCACTCAGCTTTACCCCTGAGCACTGCAGAGCCATGCCCAGCTGCCACCACACACTGCCTCCACCTGCTCCCTCTTACCCTCATTCAGGTCCCCCACACCCTTCCTCCCTTCAGGACCTCTATTTCCTGCTCCTGTGCTGCCCTTACCCCACACCCTGTCACCGTTCCTGGGACCACTGCAGCTGCACCTACTCTGGGAGCCATCTCCTGGCTTTTGCCCCCGTAATGGGATCATGCACACAGTGGGAACTCACAAGGAGGTGCCAAAGGCTCCCTGCAGTATGGGAGGAGAAAACCTACTTCCTAGGACTAAAACTGCCAGCATATGAACTCTTGCCCTTTAGATGCCTCTACTACTAGAAACAGTTGACACTTTTTTTTTTTTTTATTGAATGGTAACTATGCACATTAATGCACTTTTGGGGTACAGTGTGGGGTTTTCACACACAATCCGAAACACTTCCATCAAACTGGTTAACATAGCCTTCATGTCATTTTCTTGGTTATTATTTTAAAACGTTCACATTCTACTCTTAGATTCACTTGTACCCTTGTAAGATAAACCTCAGAAGTGATCCCTCCAATTTCCCTCCCTCCACTATTCCCCCCTCCCCACCCTCTCCCCGCCCCGTATTCTTAGGCTGTTATTAGGTTATAGCTTTCATATAAAAGGTATAAATTAGTTTCATAATAGAGATGTGTACATTGGATACTCTTTCTTCCATTCTTGTGATACTTTGCTAAGAAGAACATTTTCCAGCTCCATCCATGTGAACATGAAGGACGTAAAGTCTCCATCTTTCTTTATGGCTGCA